ACTATTTTTATTATTATATGTACATATATAAGTAAAAAGGTTAATTTATAATTCGAACCATTATGTCTGATATGAAACTGGCCAATCAATCAAACAACCATCCAGACAACCAACTTGACGACCAACCAGACAACCAACCAGACAACCAAACAGCCATCCAACCAACCAACCAACCAGACAACCATCCAGACAACCATCCATTCAACCAACCAGACAACCATCCAGACAACCATCCATTCAACCAACCAGACAACCATCCAGACAACCATCCTTTCAACCATCCAGGCAACCATCTATTCAACCAAATACTAATGTGTATTACTGAAGAGAATGCAAATTCTACGTTTGGGACGTAGTGCATAGATAGAAATAGTCCTGTAATAGTTTGAATAGTTAGAGCTAAGCCTAATAGTGACCCATAGTTTCATCAGATTGAAATATTGTTTGGGACTGGGAGATCAATTAATGCATTGTTTATGATTTTGATTACTGGATGATGATTTCGGAATGGTTTAAACATATATGAATGGTCGTAGAGGTCCTTTAGAGGTGTAAATTATTTTGGTAATAACTAATATAATATATAACAATAATAGGATTATTAACCATAATATTGGAAGGTTAAAATTAAAATATAAGTCTGGAGCTTTAAATTGTGCTGAATTTGAGGTAGAGTAAAAGTCTGCATAATATAGTGACGGAAAAGAGACGGTGATTAGTGTTAGAATAAATGTTACTACTTATAGTTTAATCTTGAGGTGTTCATTTGGTGATAAAGCCAAAAAATATGCAAATATAATTAGTATACCACCAATATAAATTAGATAGATTAAGAATGAGTATCAAGACCTTAGAAATAGTGCACATGTTCATGCTGTGAGTAGTGCTAATATTAAAATGTTAAATATTATGATAATTGGTGATTTAAGAGTTATCATAGTAAGGAGTGATGTTAAAAGTATGTTTACTATAATTAAGGACATTTATTAATATAAGAATTGAACTTATTATTTAAGCTTCAAAGGTTTATGTGTGCCGTACACTAATAAATAATGAGCCTCATCAATATATACAAATGTAAAAACAGATTCATACAACATCGACAAAGTGTCAGTATCAGGCAGCAGCCTCGAATCCGAAGTGATGTGTGTTTGAGAATTGATTTTTGATTGCACGGATTAGGCAAATAGCTAAGAACGAGGAGCCGATAATTACATGTGCTCCGTGGAATCCCGTTGTTACGAAAAATGTGGTCCCATAAACACTATCAGCAATAGTAAATCTTGACGAATAATACTCATTTGCTTGTAATAGGGTAAAGTATAAGCCTAATGTAATTGTTATTGTTAGGGCTTCAATTGTTGATGTTCGATTACTTTCCATAAGTCTATGGTGGGCTCATGTAACTGTGATACCTGATGATAGTAATACAATAGTATTTAATAGTGGTACGCCGAATGTGTTTAGTGTGATGATACCAACTGGTGGTCAAACACACCCTAATTCTGCTGTAGGTACAAGACGTCTCGTCATCATAAGTATATTGACACAATAATTAAAAATAGTCCAAGATAAAGGCATAAATTTCCTTTATTGTGAAATCAACCTGCTAGTCATATAGTTAGGGCTAAGGCACCAAATGCTGATGTTAATGGTCAAGGTGTTGATTCTACTAAATGATAGGGTTGTCGGAACAATATGATATTTAAATTAAACTTATTACTTGGAAGGTAATTGTACTTGTTATACTAATATCATACAAATAGACATCCAGACAACCGACCAGACAACCGACCAGACAACCAAACCAGACAACCAAACAGTCATCCAAACAGCCAACCAACCAGACAACCATCCAGACAACCGACAACCAACCCTAATAAGCGTGCTGTATTCGTTGCTGAGTTTGTTGACGGTGACGAGGTTGTTGTTGTTCTTTTCCGACCAGAACCAGGTGTGGATGTCCGGTCTGGAGCTGACACGACACTCGATGGAGGCGTTCCTCTGGCCAACGAAAGCCGTGGGGCTCTCACATTGGATGATTGGAGCGACTGTGTAAAATAAAACATGCTGTGTATGTCATTATGTGTGTATGTGTGTGTATGTATGCTTGTGTGTGTTTGTTTGTGTGCGTGTGTGTGTGTATGTGTGTGTCGATTTCCAACATGCATGTGTGTGTGTGTGTGTGTGTGTGTGTGTGTGTGTGTGTGTGTGTGTAGATTTACTTCATGTCTGTGAGTGTACGTAAGTTTGTAGTGTGTGTTCACTCTGAATGATCGTGTAAACGGATCTGAGTGACGTAGATGTGATTATGTTGAGGTCTATAAAAATAAATATATTGTTTACGTGTGTGTGTATTTGTTTATGCAATTTGATTGTATGTGGGCTAATGTTTTTATAGTTGTAGGTGTGTATATTTTGTATGTTTCCTATGTATGTTTCATAGTTTGGTCTGTGTGATGGTGATTGCTTTAATTTTCAAGATGTCACAATTATTAACGATGTAATCAGCCGCCTTCAACTACGTGCAAGATAACTTTTTGAAACAATCATCCTCTGTTATCATTAACACTACCATACCACCAACATCACGGTTGATCGTGCGAAACTCAACAAAACAGATGAACACACAAACACATGTGTACACATTGATTGCAACACATAAGTCATTGCCATCATTAAACAATGGAGATAAAAATCTAAAATTTATGCCAAAAATACACCACTCAATGCTAAATATCTACAAAGTTGCTGAACCGGCTTGGGCTATCTTATTTGAAAAAGTTTGACAAACTGAAATTAGAGACATAATAAATTTGATAATGGCGTTGTTTAAAAAAGTTTAAAATTTATTACTTTCATTAAATTGAATAATTTGTGGAGTAGTTAGATGATCACTACATTAAAATATTATTCATCCATCAGTAATTTAACTCTTCAAGAGGTAAATTGTGTTAGATAGCTGTGGATTTTATCTTTAATGAGTTAATTTGTTTCAGTTTCAGACGCTGAAACCTTGCAGAGCAGATTTATGAGATAATGTGCAACCTGTTTTACCAGTTTTGTTTTTCATTTTGTAGGCTGGCATTTTCAGAATTTAAATTTTTTTGAACTTTCCTCGCTGCCTAATTTTAGAGAAGAGATTCAGAACATATTGATAGAACATCTCGTTGAGGTTTTGCTGGCTGTGGAAACTATTTTGCAATCACAAAAACAAAAGGAAAAAAATTATTTAGACACCTCTAATGTATATTTATTCCACTGGACTACAATATACTACTGCTAACTGTTGTTTGTTTTAACTTTTTATTTATTTGAATTGCCCCAAACAACAATTTATACAATTTCTAACTAGATAGTGTTTGTATTAGCATAATTATCTAATTTAATTTTTAGATTCTAAAATGTACCTATTGAGATTGAAATATATAAAATTAATATCATTCCACTTCACACCATTCATTTGAAAATTTCAATGTTCAGCGGAGTTGTTCATCAAAATGCCAGATTCATCATCATTTGTCTCTCCTTATATAACCTCTTATTAATCAGCCGGTCACCCAATCGATCAATCAAATACCCTGCATTTCTTTCTTTTGCTGACAAATTATTTGATTGGAATGAAATAAAAATTTATTTTTCCGATTATTTATCTAGTTAGTTTTTATTTTGCAAAAGTTTCAAAGTTGTAGAATCAATATTTTTGTGTGTTTATTATTCAATTATGCACGATTAATTTATTTTGATTTGCGGTTTGTTTAATAAGCGTTTTTAGATTTTATTTTTTCATTCATTTAATTATTTAATGACTCACATTCGCTCTAATATTTGACAATGAATGTTGTTTTATTTTTGTTTTCTATTTTATTTTTTATGTTTTATTTTTCTTTTCGGAAAAAATTAACAGAAGCGAACGAATTAATGTCTATAAATTAAAGTTTTCAATGTTTTTAATATCTTTATTTAAGTCTGAGGATTATTTATTTATTTATTTAAAGGATAACCAAAAAAAGATAAACTTGTGGATAGGCCACCCTTAACTAAGAATTCCAACTGTAAATGTAACAGAAATGTCAAATAAATACATACACACAAATTCTTACTATAAATGTAACAGAAATGTCAAATAAATACATACACACAAATTCTTACTGTAAATGTAACAGAAATGTCAAATAAATACATACACACAAATTCTTACTATAAATGTAACAGAAATGTCAAATAAATACATATACACAAACACATGCTCACACGTACATCATTCTATGAATACTGTCATGTTTCATATAGTACCTAAAGGTGACAGTATAGTCACAACTGTAACTGAAAAATTCGCTTACTAAAAACATCAAAATTAAATAAGTTGTAAAATAGTGTAAAACTATTTAAAATGTGTTTTTTTAACTAAACAAGTTTTTAGCTTGTTTTTAAATAAGTGTAATGAGTTGATTGTTTTAATTTCATGTGGCAATACAGTATCCCATACCCTCGGACCATTAAGTTTGATGCTTGAGTGAAAAGCTTTTAATCTCACAGTATGAGAATAGAAAAGGGAAGTGTGTTTAGTAAATTTCCTTTGAATGTCATTGCTAAAAGTGAAAAAATTGGCAAAATAATTAGGCAACTTTTGACGTAACAATTTAAATACAAAAATTGATGTGAAATAAATGTGCAATTCTTTAATGGGTAAAATGTTGAGTGTCGAATAGTAAGCATTGGTTATATGAGTACGCGGTGGAAGAGTAAATATTAGTCTTATAAACCGATTTTGACATTTTTGAATATAATTTAAATGGCTTTCTGGACTTCCGCCCCATAAAAGATTACAATAAATTAAATGTGGATATATTAGGGTATAGTAAAGTTCAATCATTATGTCATAGTATATTTTTGATTTGATTTTATATAATATACCTAGTATTTTATTGATCTTAGTTGAAATTGATTTTATATGTGGTTCCCATGAAAGATCATAATTTATTAACACACCTAAAAATTTTGTAGAGTATGATCTAGGTAATGCCAGACTGTTAATTCTTATATCAAGGTTGCCTATTGTGTTAGTAATTATTCTGGGGCCGAATAACACATATGAACATTTTGTAAAATTAACAACTAATTTATTGAGAATAAACCAATCTACGAATTTTTGCAATTCTTGGTTTACGCGATCACTTTCCAGTTTAAAATCCCTTGAAGTAAAAAATATGTTAGTATCGTCCGCATATAGTAAAATATTTGCCGAATCAGTCACGTTGACAATCATTAATGAACAAGACAAACAAACGAGGTCCGAGAATAGAGCCCTGCGGAACTCCACTGTGGATGTTTAGACATTCTGATTTAAATCCTTCTAATGCAACATATTGCTTTCTATCCCTAAGATAGCTTTCACACCACGAGTAGGCTACACCTCTTATTCCATCCATATATAATTTCTTCAAGAGTAATTCGTGGTTTATGACATCAAACGCTTTTGACAGATCTATGAAAATACCTAAAGTAAGATTTCTGTTGTTTAAAGTCTTGAAGACTTTCTGAGTCAATTCAAGCACAGCTAATTCGGTCGAATGCTTGGGCCTATATCCATATTGACAATTGCACATTATGTTATTTGCAGCCACAAACGATTTCAAACGAGTATGCATTATTCTTTCAAGTATCTTCGAAAGAGGTGAAAGAAGAGAAATTGGCCTCTGGGTTACCTTTTTTGAGAATTGGAACAACCTTAGAAATTTTAAAACAAGCTGGAAATATGCCTTGCGATAATGAGAGGTTAATAATATGAGTCAAAGGAACAAGTATTTCATGAATAATTTTTTTTATAATAAAGTTACTTAATGTATCATCTGAAGTACTTTTTTTTATTTTTCATGTTCGTGGCTATACTTAATATTTCTATTTTGTCAACAGTTTGATTATATTTAGAATTAGGTAAAGTATTACATAGTGGGCTATTACTATTAGTTGTTGGATTATGCTGCGATTTAAGTAAATTGTTAGTTACATCTATAAAGTATTTATTGAATGCGTTACATATTTCCTCTTTATCTTCTATTAATTTGTTACCTATTTTTAGTCTATTTATATTAGGATGTGATATTTTTTTATTTAATATATTATTTATAACATTCAATTTTTGTTTTGCATCATTTTTAGCTGTCATAAGTTTACAATGGTAATAATCTTGGAACACTTTGCGTTTATAAGCTGTAAAATTATTTCTAAACTGTTTGTATTTGTTTAGACTGTCCTGTGTGGGATTTAACAAATAATTTTTATGTAGTTTAATTTGCGTGTTTGATAATTTTATTATTTCTTGTGTGACCCATTCTTTTTTAATTTTTAATTTTACAGATTTAACTGGGGCATATCTGTTTATAATAACATCTACAATTTTATAAAAATTATCACAGCCGTATCTATATCATTGTTAGCTGTTACAGACAACCAATCTTGACTAGAGAGCTTGAATTTGATTTGTTGTAATGCATTATTTGTCATGATTTTTTTGAAACTATGGTCCGAGAAGTTTGAAAGAATAACTCCGCTGCCGTAAATATTTAAAGAATTACTAAATATGTTATCTATTAATGTAGAAGAACAAGTTGTGGAACGAGTAGGTGACACAATTAAAGGATAAAAACAATGAGAGAGCAAAAGATTCTGAAAGTTCAATGTGTGGTTATTTTTGGTCAGAATATTTATATTAAAGTCGCCCAATATGTACACCTCTTGAGCAGGGCTGAGCTTGTGCAAAATATTTTCAAATTGATTGATAAACTTCTCAATGCTTGTGTTAGGTGGACGGTAAATAGAAATGGTTTTTAATGGCAATTTATTTAAAGAATTTGACTTAATATTTACACTAAATGCCTCAAATATGTCATCTACAGACTCGATGTTATCATCGATAAAACAATCAAATTCTTTCCTTACAAAAATTCCTATACCGCCTCCTAATTTATTTTGTCTATTTTTATAGAAAAAATTGTAATTATTTAGACTTATGAGGCCCGGGGTGATATCGTTCAGCCATGTTTTAGTTATGACTATCACATTGAAAAATGAGTTAAACTGATTAATCAAAATATCTAATGTAGTCATTTTACCGTATAAGCTACGTGCATTTATATGTAGTAGTGATAAATAATTAGATTTTATTTTAAAATTTTCAAGAAAATCTAAGCAAAAATGTTCAACTGTTTGATAATAATTATAATTATTAATTTGCAAGTCTTTAGTTAACCATTCTGTAGAGCTGCTGGTACATTTCTGGGAATCATCCATTTTGTGTCGTATCTTTGTCGAATGTTGTCTGAAGGTTTTCGTTGAGTGTTTTTTTATTGCTTGTGAACTGAATACCTTCATTTGTTGATTTTTTGAAGTAACACTCACGTACTAGAACGTTCGATGGCCAGATGTCAGGGTCAATGATTTTGCAGGTATCTCGGCTATCTATTCCCACTCTGAAAGATTTATAGAAAGATTTTGTTGTCGCAGATGATTCTTGCTGAGTTTCAGGTCGCTTGATATCAAAACACGATATGACGTTGATGTTATTTGTACGTAAATGGTCCATAATGTCGTCGGCAGTACAACTGTTATCAAGGTTACTAACGTAGAAGAAAGATTTATTTACAAGAACTTTATTAGCCCTTATTTTTATATTTTCTTTATTAGAACGTCCGATTATTTTAGAACCAGTTTCGTGTTTATCCCGATCATTCATTTTATTATTATTGAATACAGTTGAATGTGAATGCGATGTATTACTGGTGATAACTTCTGTAAGTAGACGCTTTTTATTTCCAGATGCTACAGTGAATGGCTGCATATCACTTGAGTTGAAGGTATCATACTTATACACGCTTGTACTTTTGTTTACGTTGCTGTTAAAAGTGGGCCTCTGATCTGTTATAGGCTGACCAATGAATTTGTGTGCATGCTCCAGTTTGTTAGCAATTGATTGGACGTAGTTTGAGTTTTCAATAAACTTCGAAGTAAAATCAGAAACCAGCTGTTCAATTTCAGCCATTTTCTTAAATATAGCTTCAACATTTACTAAAGAGATCTTCGGAACTCTATTCATGTCACAACTTACGTAGCAGGGAAGTTTTGGAGTAAAATCGCCTGCCACAATTTGTCGAACATATGCCACCAATTCCGCTAATTTGTCTGCCGTTTTCTCTTTTTTCGTGCTACTACGTTGAGAAAATTTAAAGTTTTCAGACTTTAAACTTTCCATATCTGCCAATAATTGGTTTTTAGCAACATTTATCTCCTCAGCAGTGTAAAACTCGAAAGCAGCTGCCACAAAGTTTGAGTTATCCAAAAACTTCACCTTGCTAAACAAATAGTATAATAACTCATTTGCTATTAGTACAGTTTTCTCAGTCATGTTTTCACGCAAATTATCCAAGTGGGCAAATTAACAGAAATTTTTTCAAAAGTTATTTTATAAAATTAAATTATTTTATAAAATTAAATTTCTTTTTATTATTTGATGAAGTATTTACCCTAAATAGTTTGAAAATTATAACTTTTAATAGAGCGAACGATAAACCGGTTACAACAACAAACAATAATATGCTAATATTCATAATAATATTCATCTGCTGTTTATTCAACAAAACCGTCTAATGGCTCCATTCAAATAAATCTTACTCACATCCGTTCAGTGCCTCATTCAACATTTGTCTGATTGGCAAGCAAACATCTGTACGAATGTTTATGCTGAGTGCTTTGGAATTTAATACACGCTGCCAGGCGGCGGTCAGTCTGTCGGGCGGTCGGTGCTGGCCAGCCAGTCAGGCAGTCAATCAGATCAATCAATCAATCAATCAATCAATCAATCAATCAATCAATCAATCAATCAATCAATCAATCAATCAATCAATCAATCAATCAATCAATCAATCAATCAATCAATCAATCAATCAATCAATCAATCAATCAATCAATCAATCAATCAATCAATTAATCAATCAATCAATTAATCAACCAATCTCTTACTAGAGCCTTCACTCCATCCATCAGGCATTCATCCTCCCACTAAAACACCGGTCAAGGAATGTTGAGTGTTATATTGCAATGAAGGCGCCTGGCAATCCATCATACTCATGTGGACAGAAAATTACAGATTGCAGTCTGCAGTGCTCTTCACATAATACGCAGCACACTTCTTCATGTTCACGTTTATGCATTTTTATTCTCTGGCAAACGTCTGTGTTGAACTACTGA